AAAAAACTTATTTTATAACTGAAACGTCTTCTTATGTGTGGCGAAAGATGCTTGAAATACCTGTAGTGAACCATGACTGCAATATTTCCAGACAGAAAGATATTGGGGCCCGTCGATACATAACCCCAAAAACCTATTCAAATTATCTCGGTCTTGTTGTTTCATCTGTAATACGGCTTTCTTGATCTACATTTTCAAAGAATGAACTACAGGCTAGTAAGTCTTTATGTGAACCACGTACAACTTTGCTTAAGAAAGGGAGTTTTAATTGTGAGTGAGAAATAAACTATACTTTCATACCGTGCATGAGTGAAAGTACTGCTGTGGTATTTTGTAGCAATCTATAATGCGTCTTCTGTTACTTTCAGTTTTGGTTACAAAAAATGTACGCGTTTAAAAAAGTTAGCAGAAAACGTTTGACTACGCAGTGCTAAAAATAATGCATTCTGATACGAATTCCTTTGAAACTGTTGCAGCGTTTCTTGTGTTCTTTTAAGCTTTTAAAATGTGATAAGTTACTTGATAAAAACTAATGGATCGAGTACGAACTTACAAAACGTAATACTGCTGCATCGTTTTTAGTTATTTTCGGTCGAGCATTGTGTTTAACAGCCATTACTGGTTCACTAAAGTAAACAAACATCAAGTAGTTATCTCCTTGATTCATTACTTTCCCCATTGCACCTTTGGTGGATCCAGAACTGATGCTGCTGTTCTGAAGTGACTGGACGCTCCCTGTACCCTTAAAATAACAAAATTTACCGAATTTTTTAACGATGCTATTGCCCTCTTTCTCACATGAGCTATTTCCTTCAGGTTATCTTAATCCTGAGTCGATCAAATGAGTGCTTAAAGAACGTATTCTTAATGTTTTACTTTTTCAAGAACTACCAAGTAAAAAGCGAGAAAAAACCAAAAACCTACCTTTTCTTCTGGTCGTGTAAGGTTGGCGTATATAACACGCCAATGTTCGTCAAGCAGTTGTCGCTCTCTAACTTTGCTTCTGTATATATGGACATGTAAAAATCATGGCCGGAAAGACATGTAAGATGGTTTAACTAACAAGTTAGCCATAGTAACGGGTATAAAAGAGCACTTCTTTTAATTAAACCTTTCTTTTGCACCCATCGGCTATTCTTGCTTAATTCTGACTTGCAACCAGCTACGTATTGTATTTTTCTTTGACAAAATTATGTTCAGTGTGAGAAAAAGACTTCATAACGATTTTTTAGAACAACATTCTTAACTCTTGATTGCTTCACAGAATCCAGCAAGGCAAAGGCGTCATAAAAGGCACCTACAGAGACTAAGAGGAGATCAAAAAAATGAAGGACAGAAGGTGAGAAGTGGCTGCAAGCAGAGGTCTTTACTTTCTGCACCGAACTCTACTAAAAAAGACTACGCAATGAAGCTTATGCGCTTTGCCAGTAAGAATGCACTAAAATGGACGGAGTTAGAGTTACAAAAAAAGCACTACACATTGAAACCAAATAAGTGAACAAGCTCTAACTCACTCTCCAACACTACTTCTTTGTAACGGAATCTGAATCAGCCCTTTTTTAAACAGGCTGTTTAGTTTTTGTGAACCGTCTGATAAACAAGAAATTCAGAGCCTCACTAGAGGAAGAAGAAAAGATTCAAAGACCTGGTTTTTTGGTTTGGATGTTTCTTTTTTCTTATCTGATTATTTAGCAGCAATTATGGAAATAAGTGTGTGATTCAAGAATGCATATAGGAAACATTTGGATGTAATCTTTAAACGTAGTTAAATGTACAAACAATAAGGTTGTAAATTTAAAGTCGTCGTGTTTACCTCGACAGCATTTTGGCTTTATAAAGATGCTAAAATGTGTGGTACCAAGCTGTCCGTTGCCAAGCTGTTCGCTAGGTCAGGTTAAATGTCACTGCCAAGCGTGTGTGGTTCAGTTGGGCAGAGCAGTTGGTAAAAAACAGATCGCTTTCATCTACAAAAGTGGCAAGCAGGTGAATTTCAGCTCGTTTCTGTATATTTTCGCTTTTGAGTCTAGATTCCATCTTTGTCTTTACACGAAAATCTCGATAGTTGGCAGAATGTTTTTTTTTTTTTTTGATGTAGGGTTCATCGCGCCTAAACTCTGTAGTTTAACCTTACTTCAGATCCTAGATTTAGTTGTATAAAAATAGAACAAAGGCGATAACCATCCTTGGAGACAAGAATGAGCTTAAACTTCTTCTTTTTAGTCTTAATTGTTGGGTGAAAGAGTGGACAGTGGTATTATATTTGTAAAAAAGAGGTATTCCGAGTGCTCAGTGGCCTTTTCACTTACGAATTAAAACTATCTGTATTTCCTTCGATTAAAAAACATATTTCCTAAAGTAGTGAAATGTGAGGTAAACTGCTTCCGGCGCGTCCTGTTCATAATAAATAATCCTATAATAAATTTAAAAAATCACCAGTGCGTTTCCTATTGGCAAGGTTTCTCGGCATTACTTTTATCCTACAACTTTTTTTTTTCGCCTTACTACGGAACCACATCTTCTGCCTAATCATATTTAGCCAGAAAACTTATCTGTGTTAAATTACACCATCAAAAGGACGACCTTCTAATAGACAAGTTTTTGTATAAAAAATCTAAGACAATTGAAAAGTGCCATCCCTTGGTAAAAAAAGTTAAAAAAACTTTGAAAATCATGAGAATTGGTGTCTTTTTCCGTTTTTATTCAAAGTTAATATTATAAAAACACTTCTATCGTAACAGTGGAAACTCAATTTGCAGAATAACTGATGCAACTGTAGATGGGTTACGTCACTTAAGACAGAAATTTGGAAATTTTTAGACACTGCCCACGTGTAGCAGAAATTATTTTATTTAAGATAAGATTTACTCAAAAAAATTTTAGTGTCGTGGCGCGCTGCGTATTTGACATGCATCTTTACATATTGAAGTGCAAAGTTCGGAGAGATTATTATGGTCAGGAGCTGCCCAGTGAGTTCCCGCTGTGATGACTTCTTAATGATTTGCTCGCTTTTTTGACCCTTTTACAAGGGGGCTTTTTTGACCCCTTTAAAACTTACGTTTTCCAGTTTTGTAGTTATCGTTATCGTAGATGAGCTACCAATGCAGCCATCATTCAGACTTTATGTTGCAGCTGAGTGCGACATCAGTTGTGTTCAGGTGAAAATCTCAACTGTACTGTTTCTAATTAAATTCTTATAAATTATCGTCTCCGGTGGGCATGATTATTAACTTTTGAAATATGCGTGTAATATGTGTTCAGTAGAAACGATACCATCTGCTTCATCAGCATTATCCAGCTTTAGATGGGACAAGTGCAGAAAAGTTTCGTTGATGAGCGTTTTAAAAAGAAATTTTACACGTAAGTAGGAGTCTATTCATTTTGGAAGGCTCAACAAACAGCTTGGCTTATGAGGTATTGAAAAAAGCTGTAGGGCGTAAATTGACTCTTTCATCGCATGGTAAACTAATTAATTAGACATCAAGCCTCAAACTGCCCCTAATTGTTTCAAGTTTTCAAAATACGCTGGCTGATGGATTTAGCCTCCGACTGTTAAAGAACTAGAGGGAAAGTTAGAAGAGTCAATTCCCTGCCAAGTTGTTGGAAAAGCCAGATAAGTAGCCAGTTTCCTCCCGAAAAAGCAAATTTGAGAACTTTGTTTTGTGGAAAAAAATTAATGGAATTTAAAGTCTTAATTCCCTTAAAAATCAGTTGTCTACTTCCGTATGAATACATGAATATGAAAGAGAAGTATTGAAAACTTTTGAAAGAAGTTTAACGAAGAACAAAAAATAGAATTGAACTTTTCAAAAAACTGTGATTTGAGCAACGATAGCGAACAGTCTTCCGAATTTATGAGTGAGGATCTGAGGCGGCATTACAGTATTTAAAAAACATTAAAAGTGAGTGAGTTGTTGAAGGAGTTAAAAATTTTTAATCTTCATTAGCTTTTTATATCATTAAGAGTTTCCGAATGTGACTATTTTGGAACAAGACCTAGTCAGTTTAGCAGAATTCTTGATTTTAGCGAATCATAATTTGTTAGAAAAATGACTTTTTTAGGCTACTTTCTGGCGTTTAAATTCCGGTGCAGACTCCACAAAGAAATAAAATTTAAAAGAATTATGAGATGTCAAGCAAGAAAGTGCGCAGTTCAAAGTACAGCCATCTAATGAGACTAGGCTTTTGAGTATTAGCCAGCATAATAAATAAAATACTGACTCCCGTACCTGTACGTTTTCACAACTACGATTACAAGCAGTAACACTGCGCAGACAACCAGCACAATTCCAATGATGACGTATGTCCGATAGGTCTCCATGAAATCTGCTTGACAGCCACTACCGTCATAGCCGCAGAGCGGAACTGCAACAGGTATTGTCCCACCCCAGTGAGACCACAAGGTACTATAGGTTTCTTCTGGTTCCCATGTCTGAAAACCGCCAGTGAGAGATAAGGTTTAGTATATTATGTTGGGAGATGCACTACAAATTTTTTGCTTAATCTGCTAAGATAACGCAAATTTGCAACACCTCTCTGTAATTTTAGAGTGGCACCCCCTATATATATTTTTTTTGCGAGAGGATTGTGTATTATGCACTTCCTTGGAACTCTTCGTGATTTTCACAATAAAAATACATCTTGTTTTTTATTTCTTGAGACATTTCTTACCATTTTTTCCGTCGCTGTTAATGCACAGCCAGTTATTAAGGAATCCTTACTTTATAATCTCCTGCTCAAAGTACAGCTTAAAAAATGGGCAAGATTGAGTTCTCCAAAGCGATCCTACAGCAGCACTTCCTATGGTGTAAGCGCGCATGAGCAAGAAAAGCAACTTAAGCCAAAACGCGTAGAACTTTGGCTTCGTTAAACACTCTGACTGTAAAAGGACGAATCCACCACAGTCTATCTCCAAGCGCGATACGGAACTTAGGAATGCACCGCACTTGAAAAACTGAATCAGATTATAAAAAAACTCTGTAAGAAGAATGTGCAGAACTGAGCAGAATCTTTTTCTCGGACGTTTTGGTCAAACTTAGGCAAAAGCAGAAATAAAGTTGGCATATTTTTAGTTTCTATTGTGTCATTCGAATCTTTGCTTCACGTTTTTTAAGTTAGTTTTTTTCTCTTGGCTAGGGAGTTGCCTTCCCAAACACTTCCTAGCAAGTCTTTTAAGTTCAGGAGGCTGCTGCTCTAACTACACTGTTACAGGTAGAAAAATTCAAATAAACTGTGACTTTTTTTGGAGTCTGGAACATTTCAGCGTTTCACCACTGACAGCCTGATCGGTCGAAAGACGTATTCAGCAATACGATAGGTGCAGTGAAGTGGTAGTCTGTTTGAAGGTAGCAGAAGTAGCGCTGTTTGCTGTAGCACCTATTTTAAAAGGCAGGCCGTTGGAAGAGGGGAAGTAAAAAAGTGTCACATTAAAATCTTTTCTCAGATTGTTTAACGTATATGGAGTCGTGTCGTTATCAATTTTATAGACATAGTACAACGGCGTAGTTAAGAAGTGCATGTGCGACTTGCAAGTAGAATATTGAAATGGTGCACTGTTGATGTAGAAGTAATTGTTCTGTAAAGGGATTTGAGAGACCTCTCAGGATCTGAACAATTTAGAGAACCTTATAAAAACCTATCTTGTAAAAAGTCCTTACCGTTGTTGTTCTGTTGCCTCGTAGCTTTATAAAAAGAGTTTGTTTATAATCTTCGTTCAGACCGTAAACAGCGTAAAGTAAATTTCGATTCCCATCCTTGTCGATTTTGAACTCACCAGCAAAGCCTATAAAAAGTTTTCACTTGCTTGCTGTTGCCCAAATAGTATTTGGAAGACATGTGAGTGTGTTCATCACTCTTCTACTTATTTTTGCTGACTAACTAAGATAGTTTCCTTCTAAAGACTGAATTACTGCCTGGCCATTATGGATCCAATTTCTAGGGTTTTCTCTCAAGTACCGGTCGAGTGCAATACCATACACATACATTGCATCTCCCAGATAAAATGCTCTTTCTGCGACCTACAATGAAATTTTAGATTATCCGGAAAATTTACTCTGCTTTTTCTACTTTTTATATGTGTGGAAGCTTAGAACCCTTACAGCAAAGTGGTTTAACGGTAATAGAGCCGATTTCTCGTTGCAACAGCTAACGGTGAGATTAAATTAACAACGAAATGCGGTAACAGCAATCCACAGCATACAAGTGTATCTTTTTTTTTTGCTATCACTGTCTTCTTAAGCGGCAGATGCAAATGACGAAATGAAGAAAAAGGTAAGAATTTTTCCAAAAGACTTATGCTAAACTGGAAGCCCAAATTTAGACGTTGACTCGTCTATACGTCACAACATTGAGTACCACTTATGAGAGTACGAAAAAAAATAATGAGAAATGATGATGGGACTGCAAACGATCAGATTTATGGCCTATTTTAAAACTGTTCTCTAACAAATTTTTTTTGCTTTAATGGCTGCAAAATTTTATGCATTTGGTTATTTGTAAAATACAGTATGTTCTCATAAATTTTAGATTTATTTTACCACAAAATCAAAATTTGAACCTACAAAAAAGTTTGTTTTTAAAGTTATTTATAATTGTTTTTCACTTTGTATTAAGATGTATGAAACAAAAGCCTGCAAGTTGTTTTTGATATTACGTAAGAAGCAAATTATTGAGAGAATTTTTTCCTTTGCGAAGCACACATTAACAAACCTTATCCGTGTAACCATTACATTCTCTAGTACAATTGAATGGAGGTTCTTTCATGGCGCTCAACAGTCTTTTTGAAAAAGTTGGGTCTGGATTCGGTTGCGCAAAGATATCAATCTGTAGAAAGTGACAATTAAGGGAAATTCTTAGAGTCTGGGTACTTCTAAGCAGTAGGTCTTTATTTGATTCGTGTCTTTTACTTGTATCAGTCTCAGGAGTCATTTTGATAGAGCCACTTTGATAGCAGTCTATTTACGACTGGAATTACTGTAAAGAATCGAGGAAACCAGCAGCAGTCTAAACACCTGAATAGTCCGTAAGGAGGCGGTGAAACAAAGGAACTGTCTGTTGCATCGCTTATGTGCAATAAAGTCACTGTTTCAAAATTATTCAAATAAAAGTGCATTTGCCGCTGAGACCTTAATTACGGAAAATAGTATCAAGTTTTAATCTTTCTTTTTTTTGACCAAGCAATGTTTTATAATTGCCTGTAATCTTATAACACTTCTAATTTCATTGACGTTCTAATTCAGATCTACAAGTCTAAAAACTGTCATAGGCAGTTTTTAGATGCCCTGGATTCCGCAGACCTTTCTAACAAATTAATAACTTGAAATTTTTTGAAAAAAGTAGTAGATGGGAAAGGAGAGGAGGGAACCTAAGAGATCAAAATGAACGCGACAGGGGCTTAAATTCATTTTTTGTAGTTTTTTATGGTAAGGCGCAGAATGACAAATTTGGAAGTCTTTATTGTTCGACCGACTAGCTCAAGACGAAATTACTTGAATTTTTGAGTATTGTTACCCCAAAGAAATGTATACAAGCGCATTGTCAGCGAAGATTTGAGGCAGCAACCGTGGCAAAGTACGCATTGCTGGTTTGAATCACACCTGAGCTCTAAGCTTTACTACAGTGCTGTAAAAAGCAAGTAAGTTAAAAAGAGTGCCGTCGACAGAGGTTAAAATGACTGAGTGGTGAATTTACTGGTCGGAGAATAATTATTTTCATGTAATCAGGAATCTGCAATTTGATTCTAAAATGACATTTCAGGAGGCATGAGGATCAAGATGGAAATGATGATGCCTGTCTTAGAATATCAGTATTTTGTGAACTGCATTTGAAGCACAGTCAATTTCATTCCAAATAGGCTCATTAAGGGCGTTACCTAGCAGATTCTCAGTTGATAATATATCTTATATTATTTTCATCTTCTGGTATCAATCTTCATGGTACTTTTTACTTTCGCATTCCGTAAACCGCGCTTGTAAAATAAAATTTCCACAAACGGTAGTCACAAAGGCGTGTTCGGTGTTCTTCTCCAATTTGCACACTGAAGAAAAATCTCAGGTGCTAACTGTTGGTTCCTGGCTCTTCTTTTTTTTTCCTTGTGGGTTCGAAGATCTAGTGGTCGTTTTAAGCTGTGTGACTAGTTCTGCTTGCAACAGGTTGGCTAAAGGTAGCAATAGACTTAGTTAGCTGCTAAAACAGTCATGTGAAACATACGATTAGAGTTCGACTAGCAGCGATTTGGATCTCTTGATCCATTCCGTCAGACGCAGATCCTGATTCCCAGAATGGTGGATTCCCTAAAAAACATATTTCAAAACAAAAATTTGCCTCTGTCGCTTTTGACCGCATGTTTGTGGTGGTTTTAAGACGTTAGCATATCAAAAAGGTCAAGTATTCATTTTATAGGAATGTCTTTAATTATCTTTATTCTCTTCATGAATTTTAATTATTTATGGGAAAATTGAACAGCGATTATCTGGTAATTTAGTGATTAAAGCGAAGGGAAAAATGTTATTCCACAAATGACATATTTTTGAGGTTCCGCTTCTGGGCTTCTTGCTGTATCTGAAGCTACAATACTTTGCCAGATTATGCCTAGCAGACGAAAAGCGGGACGTTGAATAGTGTGATAACTTAGGAATGAAGTTAGAAGAAGTGATATCGTCAGTAGTTTCTTTGTTGTTCACTGGGAAGAAAACAGCGTTATGTTGCCAAAGAAAAAGCATTGTGAAAAAAAAAGTTAAATTTCAAATTTTTCTGCCTACTAAATCAGTGTCATGGATGGTGTAAATTATGATTCTTCTCCCCTTGAAGTAGAGGATGCTAGTGGATTTTGTATACCGTACACTCCATTCAAATGTTTTATTATCCATTTTTCTCAAGAATTTAATCAAAAGAAAGTCAAAATTTGTGACAAAAGTTAACCATAAGCTTATTTTACTTTTTCAAAAATTACCATTCTATATGAAGGTCGAAGCTTTTAAAGTCTTGAGGAAAGTTACGAAAAAAGTGAAGAGCGTACCGTAGCCAGAGTGGCTTGTTTGCAGAAAGACATAGACGTATTCGGTAGTGTTCATATTACTCTTCATGATACCTTTCATCAGCTCTCTTTTGTTGTCGGTGCAAATTGCAACAACTGGAAAATTTCAAATAGACATTTCTTTTAAAGGTTGTTTGAAGATCAGAATTTTTTTGTCAGATGGGTGAGTTTTTTAAACATTTTGGGGCGTGTAGAGTGTCTGACCTGAGACTGTTTCTTTAGTTTTTAAACGTCCTTCATTTTTAACTTCTGAAATATTTTTCTTGGAGTGAAGATTACCAGCATTTTCTATCAATATTTAGGCCAATTTCTGGTTAACAAAGGTGCTCAAAAAAAGACTTTTCTTGATAACTAGTGTTTCAGGCGTTTTTGGGAAGTTCAGTTTAGCCACTATTTTAGACAATGACAGGAATGATCCTTAGCTCATGGACAGTGGTCATCTAAGCTGTTCTAAGTTAGATTCACCTTCTCCAACCCTTATTTTAGAAGCAGATTTATTCCAAGGACTCGAAGGAATCACATAATTTTTTGATTTTTTTAAAGCTTTTCATCTGGCGGATTTTGTTAAGCTGCTTTATAGAATGCATCGTCTTCGTTAGAAATATGTTAGGTATTTAGCACAACAAGTGGAAGAGCTGGTTTGCGAACTTAATGTGAATTTAACTGAGTAATTGGCTGGAAATGCATTATAAGTTACTTCTAGCTCGTTGTTTCACGCTGTCTAGTGCCGGCAGTATTGCTTCTTCAGTGGTCGATAGCAGCATTTCGCTATATGTCATCGTAATGTTCGTCGTGTCTGGTAACATTTGCTGCAAAGCTCACACCTCTCATCATCATGAAGTTGTTAAAATTGGTGGAAATATTTGATTTTTTCGCAGATGATTTATGCCAGTTACCAACTACTCTCTCTTGTATTCATAGCCAAAGATTTTCTTATAGTGGGTTTTTTACTAATCTACCCGACCAAGTTTGGTTTTCGAACTTTTTTGCAATTTTTTTTGCACTCAGTAACCAGTTTTCAGATACGAATTCTACCAACTGTTTCTTTTTTTTTACTGAATTCATTTGTTTAAAATAATTTAAATAGATAATAACTACGACTTCTTAACCTCGATGTCGGAAATAAGATAGGAACACCGTGGAGCTTTATTGCTTTCGTCTCTTACATAAATGAATGCAAAATCTGTCCACCCAAAAGCTTTTAATAATGCGAAAAACGACATTATCGACCTGAAATTTCAAATAGATCCTACTGAAAGTATTTTAAATTATTACGCTGTATATCGGACCTCTTAGACAGATGTAAGTGTTTAAAGGCAACATTCAACTGCAAAATTCTAACTGTAGTATTGAATAAGCGAAAAAATGTTTCGTAAATCATTGATTATTTTTGGGAAAAAGTAAGCTAATAAGCATGACAAAATCTAAGGACCAAATTACGGAAGGTAGGTTTTTTCAAAGTATTGTTCCATTTTAAAGCCGTATTGGCAAGTTCACCTTATGGTACCTCTGATATGAAAGGGCACTTATTGCTACGGTTAGATTTTATGCGGTTTTGCAAAATAGTGCTACATCTTAAGATTACAAGAAATTTGGGTTGTAGGTTAAGAACTAACTGGTAATTCACTGGCGCAATCGCTGCTAGCGATGGGTACATTATAGGGTCGGCTATTTCGGTGGGCATTGTGGTGCCCCATGCGATCACTGGGAAGTTATAATATCGTGCCAGCATGCCAACAGTCATCGCTGCTGGAAATAAGCGATTCAAAATATATAGATAGTAAATGACTTAGAAAAAAACTAGTTAGACTTTAATTTTGCAAAATCTGCTAATCTGTCTAAGCCCATACCGTATAAATCGTCGTGGAGGAATTTAAAAGACACAGATGAAAAATGACTTGAAAAATAAATGATTAATGTTTAACTTTGATGGACCTGGTAAACTGCCTCATTTACTACAAAAATTATGAATCTTAATGGGGAGCACAAAGAATTAAAGTTTATTTCACAAAGTAGAATATCCGCGAAAGATAACAATCATTTAGGTTGTCTAAACCAACGGGCAGTCGATAGTGAGAAGTGATAAAGCGATGTGGATAGAAATCACAAGTCTGATACTTTAAATGGCTACTTGAAAATATGGTGTGAGCTACGTTGTAGTATAACTTTGACAAACCTTTAAAAATTTGCCGTTTTCTAACGTTAAAAATCCATTTGTTTAGAAAACTACTGGGCAACTTTTGTCAAAACAGTACCTTCTTAGTACGTGCTTGAGTCCCTGACGAAGCAAGGTTCGGGAGGGGGATTTGAAAGGAAAAGAATTAAGACAGAACTCATTCATCCATTATTATGATGAATTTCTAGTACAAAATTCATTTCTTTTTTCTGAATAACATTTGACACACTAATTGTTGAATATACTGATAAATGAACGAAAAGTTTATGTTGCAAAAATTGAAGGGTTAGTTCTGTTCAATAGAACCTCAGCAAGTTATAGAATTATCTTTTATTAATTCCAAAATAAGGCCATTTTACTAGTTTTTACGATTGTTTTCTAAATTTATCATTTTTTACATCCAAACTACGTCGGTAAATTTATCTAGATAACTTCCACAGTGTGCTGTAGCTTCCTGCCTTCTCATTTAGCAGATCCCTGAAACCGCTCACTACTTTGTTACCAAATTCTGTGCTAAGATTCACAAAACCACATTTACTACTACTGACCGCTGGGTTCTGCTTTCGAGGTGTAGTCGTGTTGTATTTTCATGTAATCAAAAAGAATGGAGTTTAAAAATTTTGCTGCTTAAGAATTATTTCTGCAGGAAACCTTATTTGCGTTGTTATTTGTGGAGGAAAAAACAGCGAAATCTTATTGGAGCAAAGGTTTAACTAAGAACACTCCCGATGTAAAAAATTTATTAACAGCTAAAACATAGAGCATTACTTCTTTTAGTCGCTTTACCAAACTGAGCACGATGTAATTATCACCAACGGGTCTTATATGTCTACGACTGATCATAGATGTGGCTTCGCAAATCTTTGTTTACGAAGGAAAGGGCAGAGTGCCGGGTTGTTGTTGGGATCTAGCGAATGATGAAGAAATGTTGCGGAGGTATAAGATACTTTTAAGTGCTATCTCGAAGATTTTGCCTGACGTGTGCTGAATATAAAGCGGGATTTCTCGAGAAGAACTTCTGCTGACAGTGTCACGT